ATTATTAGCCCTACTTGGGAGAGGAGGAAAACACAACTCAGTGATTAGAGTGCTCAAAGCCACCCAGCCAGGAGACCAATTTGTACCCACGTCTGAATCCAAAGCTATTTCTCACATGGCCTTTGTAGTCAAATTGTCTGTACCATTTGGTGCCCTCCGCTACTGAGCCACCGTGATGCGACGATGACATTAGCTTAAGAGGGGTAGGAGTGAGAGGAAGGCTGAAGCCTGCACTCAGAAGTGATTAATTATAGATGCTTTTAAATCCACATCATGCATCAGCCTTAGACGGTCAGCCATCCCTCAGGACGAGCCTGCTTTTCCCTGTTCCATTTATCAGCGGGGTTGCCATGAAAAGAAGGGGGGGGGTGGTCCCTTCATTTACAGCTCTCTGTGCACCCGCTGCCTAGCACTGCTTTGAACAGAAAGAGGAGAAGTTACCTGTTCTGTCTCCAGAGCGCTTGAAGTGCAGCCTTGACCAACAGGAAGGCTTGTCGGTGCCCAAGCACAAAGGTTCCAGCACCTGGGGATGCTGGGAATGAGTCACCAGAAAGAATCCAATGCATGTACACCGAGCATTTTAACAATGTTGCCGATCTGGTTCAAAGGACTCAGGCCTTTTTTTTTTTTAATCTAATCCTAAATCTGGCGTCTATCAGTTCAAGTGGTTCATTAAACTCTTGACATTCAACCCACAGGGCTTTCACAGATCCTAGGTTAGGAAAAAGTCCTCTCATTCGCCATTCCCAGCCTTCTACATTGACTTGGTGGTGATTTTCAAGACCACAAGTGTATGCCATAATTTAGATAAGCATACCTAACACGGAGGGGCTGGTGGGGTAGAAAGCCAGGTTTGGGAATCACCCAGACCTTGGTTTGACTCCCAGCTGTGCCAGTTCCCCACAAGTTACTTAACCTCTCTGGGTCTCTATCTCCACTTGAAGATGGGTGGGGTAATCCCATCTTACATGGTTGTTTGGTTTTTGTTGTTGTTTTTTTAAAGAAGGCTTCCTGGCCAGCGTGGAGCCCAATAGGGGGCTTGAACTCACAATCCTGATATCAAGATCTCGCTGAGATCAAGAATAGGTCACTTAAAGATCTGAGCTGAGATAAGAAAAGGACACTTAACAGGCTGAGCTGTGCAGGTGCCCTTTTTTGTCACCCTATTTCTATGTTGATGTGAAGACAAAATGAAATTACGTTAAAAAAGTCTGCTGACACAACTTTGCATTTCAAGACATAAAAAACTTAACCACATGACAGGAAAATAGATCTAGTCAAAAAGTCCATAGATGGGTTACACTCAATACACTCACTTAAGGGCCGACACTTCCTTCACTCTATTTGTTTTTGTAAGTTTCCATTCTTAGACACCTCGAATAAGCTCAATCAGACCAAAGAAAATTCCATTGACAAAGTGATCAGAAAGCATGTCAATTTTCAAAAACTCAACAGATGGACATAAACAGTCATTTCACAGTGCAGCTGACAAAAACAAAATGTGCTCTCTCCCGCCCTCCTCAATCTTAGTTGCATCGTCCCACAGGACTCAGTCCGCCATCAACTTGCAGTAGGCCTTGACGCAGGTTTCTCATCTCTGTGATACTCGGCTTCTCAAATGAGAAAGCAAGTATAAGAATATCTCCGAATCCAACAAACCCCTTCGAATCCAGGCCCCATCACTTACTAGCTGTGTGACCTTGAGCACATGGCTTAAGCCTCTGAGCCTCACTCAGCTTCCTCAACTGCAGAAGCTGGATAATATGCCTGTGGCTGATGACACCCATGTGTCACATAACATGACAGACCCACATGACATATGACAGCTAGACCAACAGTAGTGGTTTTTGCAAGAGCAAGAGATAACCGTGAACCCTGCAGTAGGGGATCAATAAAAGGTTGCTCCTCCGCCCCCGCCCAGGACAACTCATTCACACCTCAGACTTTTACTGAGCATCTACCATGTGTCAGAGACTGGAGTGGGGCTGGAGAAGCAGAGCAAGACTGGCCTTGAAGATGTCACAGTGCCACAAGAGCCCCAGATACAGAGACCAAGTGGTTATGTGCTCGCTCCAAAGACTGTTGGGGGGGGGGCACTGAGGCTTGGAGAGAAGCAATGGTGGAGGTGGCTGGCAAAGGCTACACAGAAGACATTGGTTTAAACTGAACAGATGAAGAGAGTTCAGCAGACAGATGGGGGGCAGGGTCTGAACTAGAAAAATCCTCATATCCCCCAACCTCAAGTTCCCCAAATGCAAGCCTTTTCATTTTTTTTTTAAGATTTTATTTATTTGACAGAGATCACAAATAGGCAGAAAAGCAGGCAGAGAGAGAGGAGGAAGCAGGCTCCCCGCTGAGCAGAGAGCCCGATGCGATGTGGGGCTCGATCCCAGGACCCTAAGATCATGACCTGAGCCAAAGGCAGAGGCTTAACCCACTAAGCCACCCAGGTGACCCAAGCCCTTTCATTTCTGCAAGGCTCAGGGTCACCAGGTACTCATGCCATGAAAGGACAAACACCACAGTCATCTATGATCTGTCAGTATGATAGGAAGGTTCTGGGGGACAAGAGGAACAACTGCCAAAAAGCCTTAAAAACTTTAATGCACTTCCCAAGAGTATGAAAGGACAGTTCCATGCATGAAAATTTCTTGGCCCTTTAGTCCACAAAGAACTGGAAGTTACCCTCATCCTAATGCAATCTTCGGCGGTGGGGGGCGGGGAGCCCACTTTTAAGTTCTGGAAGCCATTAAAACAAATCAAGCCATTAAAACAAATCAAAGTCCTAAAAACCCTCCATCTACTTTTGGAGGACTCTTATCAGAATCCCAACTCGGGAAACTCGCACCTTACCAGGGAAGACAGTTATGTTAGGAGGCATCAATTATACTTCTACAAAGGCTTTTTTTTTTTTTTTTTTTACAAGGGATGGGCCATTTCCAAGGCTGCATACACCAAGCTAGGTATCATCACTTGCAAGTGACATCTCTGCACATCGGCTACCGTGTTTGACACAACACACCTTGCTGGGACAGAGTTCTCCATCAAACCACCCACCTGTCAAACTCAAGGTTCAAGGAGGCAAAAAGCTTGCGTAAAGGGGGAGAGATCAGTACATCCCACAGGACCATCCAAACTTGGTCCAGGGCCCTGTGGGATGCAATCCTGAATTGTGTCTTAACAATAATTTGCACTTTCCCTAACTCTTTACTGGCCAGTATTATCTCATGCAACGCTTACAGAAGAAAGCCCAGTGGTAACATGACCAAGCCCATATTAAAACTAAAGAAACTAGTAAGCTTTAAAAATATAAAAGCAAAAATACAGATAGAGAAAAGAGCAGATCTTGGTGGCTTCTCTGACACCATCACGGATCCCAAATACAATCACTGGAGCAAGAACAAGTCAGAAAAAAAAAAAAACCCTGTAGTCCCTTCTGATGTTCATTTAAATACAGATGAAAACTTAATTATCAGTATGAACTCAATCACTGCTGTGCAGCATTCAGTATATGATTTTGCCAGCACCTATCATCTGGTATCTAGAGCTACAAGATGTACATGTTTTCTGCCAAATCCTCATTATCTTACGTAATTGGGAGGGGGGTAATTAAAATTCACCTTTTTCAATTATTTTAATCCCCTGTTCCAACCTCTTCTTTCACAGGGCATTTTTTGGAGGTAGAAAGGAAGAACTCATACTTCACATCTTTCCCAGCCCATTATCTTGTGTGAATGTTAAAAATAAAAAGGAGGAGGGGGTGTTATCCTGAAGATCTCTCTTAAAAAAAAATTCTCAAATGTGTGGAGAGAGCACCCCGGAGACCAAGCTTCCAGTTCTGGCAGTGACACGGTATCACCGCATGACCTTGGGCAAATCACTGCATCTCTGGGCCTCAGTTTCCCCCACCTGAAGCCCCACATGGTCAAGCCCCATCCTCTCTTAAAGCGCAGACTTCAGAAGCATCTCCGGGCCAAATCAGTGAAGGGACCCCAGGCCATGCCCCTGGGCGTTGGAATGGACTTTCACAGGCCCCTGCTGGGGTTTCTGGGGAGAGCAAGCTGCACCCATCCTCCCCAACCCGCCCCGCAAAGCCACTGGGCCAACTTCAGGTCGCAAACAAAAACCTGTTGGCACGGAGTCTTCTAGGAAAGGCCAGCCTCTCTGAACGCGCTCGGCTCAGGGGGAGCCGCCCCACGGGCAGAGAGAGGAAGGGTCTCCTTGAAGAGGCCGGCCCCCACGCACCCATTCACCCACCCGGATTAGCCGAACAGGACCGTCGGGCGGGGTCTCTGCCATCCCACGCGGAACAAAAGGCAGCTGGAACCAGGCTCTGCCGCCCCCGTCCCCGCTGTGCTGTGGGGGTCGGGGGTGGGGAGGCAGAACCTGGTCCCCGGGGAGGGAAAAGAGCCCCACTCCAGCCCGAAGGCGAGCGGGGACGGGACCGGATCCTAGGACAGAGAGGACCCCTCCCCGGATTCCTGAAGGAAACGGGGCTGGGCTGTGCACGGGGGCGGGAGGGAGATCGCGCTCGGCTCCGGAGGAAAGAGGCGCCTGGCCCGAGGAGGGGAGGAAAGTGCTCTGGGGAGGTGGGGCGGGGTTGTTCCAAGCTGAAAGGTAGAGGATGAGGGCCTGAGGAGGATCCTGGATCTGGGGTGGGAGTAAGAGAGCCCCAGACTCCGGAGGATGTATAAGGAAGAGCTCCCAGATAGGAAAATGGGGGGGGGGGGGGCCCCTTGCAGCGGAAAGAGGGATCCAGATGGGGAGGGGGCCATGCTCCAACCCGTGGGGCGGGGCCTGGTGGGAAAGAAAGGGGTCCCACCTGAGGTGGGGACCCAGCTGGGGCACCTGGGTGCATGCTCTTGGGGGCTGGCTGGAGGGGAGCGGCGCCGTGAGGTAGTCCGTGCCCTGGGGAGGGGAGGGGCCATGCCCTGGGGAGGGGAGGGTCCGCGCCCCGGGGCCCCGCTCCCGCCCCCCGAGGCTCGTGGGCCCCGGCTCACCTCCGCTCCTCCGAGCCTGCCTGGGTGCGCGGCTGCGGCCGCGGGTAGCGCTGGTGAGGCGGGAGCGACCGGAGCCTGCGGAGCCGCCGCAGCCGCCGCCGCTGCCGCCGCCGCCGCCGCGTCTAGCTCCGTTTGACACCCACACACCAGCCAACATGGCGGCCGGGAGGGGGCGCGCCGGCGGCGTGCGCGCGCCCGCTGGCCCCGCCCCTCCACCCTGCCGATGCCCCGCCCCCGCCGAGGCCCCGCCCCCGCGACCTCCCCCCACATACACAAGACCCCGCGCAGACTGCGGAACGCTCCCGCCGCACCCCTCGACCTACGCCCAAATCCCTCAAGCGTCCCTCCAAACTCCACGCATGCATCGAGGACCCCCCCCAATCGCCCACAAACCCTCGCGAATTCATACCCGAACCCACGCACTCAGACACCTCCCCACAAAATCCCCCATCCATACTCTACAAGCATCTCACCACCCTAAGGTACGCACACGGAGCCCTCCACCAGCGCGGAAACTCGGTTCTGAACCTTACAGTGTGCACTTGAAAACATTATTCCCACAGGGGCTTCTCTCAGGAGGTGGAGCCTGGAAGGGGCCAGGGGCTCCGGAGGAGCTGGTCACTTTCAGTTTCTTGAGCTGAGTGCTGTTGTCACAGGTGTGTTCACTTTGTGAAAATTCACTGATGTACATTTCAGGTGTGTGCCCTTTTCCGTATGTGTGTTAATTCTTCAAACACACTCAAAAATTTGAGAAGGGATGCATCGGCTTTGCTAGACAGCCAGAGGGATCCTTAACACTAAAAATGGGGAGCCCTTGGCTCACCGTCAACCTCACATGAGGAATTTACACGACCTGAAACTCACAAAAGCAACACAGCTGCCCCTTCCATCTGGTTCATCCAGTGCCCGTGAGGCACCAGGCTCTGTGCAAGGCTCAAAAGGAGTCGAAGACGAAGCTGGACAAGAGGCAGACCTTGGAGAGGTTCCTGGGACCTCACGGCTGACTAACCCACTCCAGACAGGGTGGGGTCAGCAGAAACCCCTCAGAGCAGATTCTGAGGTGTGGTTCAGAGTTCGCTGGGTTGGCAGACAGCACCATCCCTGTTGCCTGTGTTCCAAGGAGGCCCAGATGACATCAACACTCTGCCAAGCTCTGGCTTTCAGGGAAGCTGTGTCTCTGAGTCCCATTCTGCCCTCAGTTACTAAGAGACCTTAGACAAGTCATTGCACTTCTCTGAGCTTTTTATTCCTCCTCTCTATGAAGATGTCCAATGGATGAAGACCTCCCTTCTGTTCTTCCAAGCTGAAATCTAGACTTCCTTTCTCAGGGAAAAGTATAAGAGCAAAAGAAAAGGGGAGAAGAGAGAGAGAAACAGAGGGAAGGGGAGGAAAGAAAGGAGAGGGAGGAGAAGGAGAGAGAGGGGAGGAGAGGGGGATGAGGAGAGAGAAACGCAGAGACTAATGCAGTTGTGAAGTCAGGTGGCCATTTTTCCTCTACAAAGCCCAACACTGGTGGTTCCAGATGTTAGAAATTCCTCCCCCGGGGTTTGCAACCCCCTCCCACTGCTCAATGTCCCTTCTCCACCGGGATAGTGAATTAGCCTCGTGGCAGGAACCCAAGCTCCCCATTTTGAACTTGGCCCGCCCCTCTCCTGGAGAAGGCCCTCAACCAGTCCAACACTCCCCGTAAGCTGCAACTCACTCTTTGCTGGGCCTTCTGGAAGAGGAGAGCTTTCCATGAAACCATGGTCCCTCTCCCCAGAGTTTGTAGCTTCCTATGAATTACACACTCACCCTGTGGGCGCCCGGTGCGGGCTCGTGGGCTTTCCCTAGATAGAGCTGCCCCATAGTGCTTCCTGCAATGATGGAAATGTTCTCTAGCTGTGCCATCTACATATGAGCGCTTGGGATGTGGCTAATGTGACCCAAGGAGCTGAATCTTTAAGACCTTATTTAACTTTAATTAATGAACTTAAATAGCGACGTACGGCTGGATGCTGGACCACACTGAACAGTGGCCTCCCTAAACCTCACCACAGCCCCACAAGGTGAGCAGTCTTATTGTCCACATCTTACAGATGAGAATTTGAGGTTTGGAGAGATGCCAGGACTTGGTCATCGAGGCCAGTTTTTCCGCGTGTAGAGCCCATTGCCTTCTGCACCCAGCTAACAAGTCTGCCTAGCCGCAGAGATAAACATGCAAATTCTGGGGAGAGACCTGGATACAGATAAAGAGACCATGGGGTGCAGGTGCATGGCTGGCTCAGAGAAGCAATGCAAAGCTCGATCTTGGGGTTGAGTTTGAGCCCCACGTTGGGTGTAGAGATCACATACATAAATAACAAATAAATAAATAGTCTTAAAAAAAAAAAAAAAAGAGGGAGAGAGAGAGTAATCTTAAGTACAGCCCAGGAAGGAAATTGGAGAGCAGGAGAAAGAGCCAGGCTGGGGAGTGGAGCAAGGAAGGCCCTCTGAGGCCAAAAGACCACCACCCAAGTGCAAGGTCAGAGGGGACATTCCTGCATTCCTCCAAGAGGTGTCTCCTTCCGGAACTGCTTTGAGATGTGAAGCATCTCACTGTCTTTCATGGTCCCTCTCTGAATACACCTTCACTATGAGCCCTTAAGGTCAGCAGTCCTAGTCCCCCTAGTTCCAGATGAGGAAACAGAAGCAGCAGCCAGCCATGCTGCAATTCAGACCCAGGTTCTGGTCCAGAGCATGGAAACAGTCTTACAGAAGAGGCTGCAGGATAAGCCAGACACTGTGCCTAAACCCAAAGCAGTCCCAGGGCACAGGGGTGGAGCTGACACCTCATCCGCCCTTCCTCATGGAGCCAGGGCCCAGGGGTACATGGGTGCCTGGCTCTGGGGGTCCCAAACAGACCCACCACTTGCCCACCACTTGCCACTGACAAAATCCAAAGGCAGAGAGACAAGCAGAGTTAAAGCAGGAAAGGAATTTATTTCATTGAGGCCAAACCAGGAAGACAGTGGACTCGCTTCTCAAAAACGGTCTCCAAAGTGCTGAAAATACTTCCAGGTTTATGCAAAGAAAATGTGGGATAAAGGTCAGTGGGTCCCCGTAGGTGGGCAGTAAAGATATGTCCATCACTGTCTTGGAGTAGATCCCCTGTGGGTGAGGTCTTGCTGGCTCAGGGCGTCCTTATTGCTTGAAGGGGATAGTTTCCATTCCCCCAGGGGATGATTTGCAGGGTCTTTTAAGAGAAGCTGGAAAGAAGAACTTAATTAGAACCTTTGAGGTCAAAATGGAGGTAAAATCCTCTTTCACTAGGATTTGGAGGTTGGTTCCAGATGCATAGTGAGGCACTGGTCAGAGTGGTGTTCTGGTCAGAGTGGTGTTCCAAAAGCATCGAGATGGCCATGCAGGCCAAGGGATGTCTTAGGAAGGAGGGCATGCTGAGTGAAAAGAATTAATGCAGGGTAGTGGGAGGAAAGGCAGGCGGGGACAAGGGTCCTTTGCCCTCCCACCCATCCTAAGAGGAAACCACCCTTAGAAGGATTTTACACCAACCTAGAAGGAACCCTCCACCCTTTCCCCTCTGATAGGTAGATGACAAAAACCCAACTGGATGACAGGAGCAGGGAGGGTTAATCATAATAAAACCCCCCCCCCAAGTCCCTAGACTTAGAAACTTTGGTGGCAACCCAATCAGGTCCCCTCCCTCTTTGGGACATTTGTGCTATTGCTCCATAGCCATCCATCAGTAAACCTTGCTTTGTTGCCCAACACTCTTCATCTGGTCTACCTCTTCATTCTTCAAAGCGTATGACCAAGAACGAAGGGGACTAAAGGGAAAAGAAATCCTGTAACAGTCACCCTGTAGAGGTGCAGAAGGAGGTCCCAGGGATTTTCACCGAAGGTTTGAACTCTAGATTCAAAACCCTTTGGCCAGCAGAAAGAGCCCAGTTCTGGGAATACAGAAACAGCTGACTTCTTACCACTGATATGCTGCTTGACCTTAGCCATCTCACTGGTCCCCCAAGGCCTCAGTTTCCTGATCTGTGAAGTGGGAATGATGCTTCCCTCTTAACCTTCCATTTTGGACACCTGCTCTGGAGCTTCCCTCTGCTTCCAGGTCAGGTGCTGCTTAATTCATGAATCATTTTAAAAAGTCCAGTAGATCTTTAAAACTTACTCGGTTGAATTTTGTTTTTTTTAACCAGCCCTAGAAGCGTGTTAGCATTAGTTCTTTTTAAGATGTGGAGGTGAAGCTTCTGCTCCTCTAGGAGCTGGAAGTCTAAAAGGGCAAAGAAATCATGAACAAGAGCAGAAACTGAAACACCGCATAGAAAATCACAAGACGAAGAGCTGTGAGAGCTCACAGGGAGAAAGTTTCCTTTAGCTCCTGGGAGGGAGTAATCAGGGCAGCCTTCCTGGAAGTGGAGGTCCTGGAGTTAGGAAACAGTAATAATAATAACAACAAAGCAGTGAGCACTGTGGAAATGCTTTGCAGAGATCATCTCACTTCCTCTTAATAACACCTTTGATTGAGTTTGAGACCATCTTTATCCCCATTTTATAGATGAGATTCCATTTGTCCTTGATCACAACGCTAAAAGGCAACAGTACTGGAAAACCCAGGTTCTCCTGATTCCAAAGCGAACCTCTTGAGAGGAATTTGAAGAGGCTGAGGGGAGAGATTGTTCCTACCCTCCAGCTCCAGGAGTGGGTGTATAACAAAGGCTGAGCCAATCAGAGCATCCCTCCTTGGCCATAGTGATTGGCTCAGAAACCAGCACATGACTCAAAACAGGCCAATAAGACTCAAGCCCAGGATTTTTGTAGAAGCCACTGAAAGGACACTTCTCTTCCCATACGTTGCTGAACTAGTGGGATGTAAGGCTGGAGCAGCTCCACACTGTGAGACTCAGCCTGAGAATGAAAGTAGCACAGAGATAAGTGAAAAGATAGATTTCTACTGACATTATTTGAGCACCTTGAACCAGCCATTCCTGAAGCTGTCACCCTGGACTTTTTTTTTTTTAAGATTTTATTTATTTATTTGACAGAGAGAGATCACAAGTAGATGGAG